CTATATCGTGAGACTTTCCCTCAAAAAAACAACCAAACAAAAGCAAAACATAAATAAATAAAATTCATGTTTACCCTAGTGCTAGCATTCACAATTCAGGAGTGTTCAGGAGTGTCCACTGCGGAGTTAACACAGCAATACACTAAACTCTATGTTTTATTTGGATTTCACCAGTCTTTATAGAGAAACCAGTTCTAAACCAGGACACCTTGTAGCATTTAGTCTTTATGACCTCTGAAATCAAGGCTTTACTATTCTGTTGTTTAGGTGTGTTGAGACACTAAGGTTATTGAGCAGACATGAACTTCATAAGGAACACATCTTTCAATAACAGCATACTGGTCATCCCTCATGCATACTTTAGAAACACTCAATAAATCTCAAAAACCACCCTGCATGCAGAGAAATGCAACAAGACAAAATGAAGTGTAAGCAATAGGGTTGGGGCTCCGTGTAATAGATATCAGAATATTGAGAATCAAAGATATAAAAAGGTGGCTTCCCCTGTGGGAAAACCCGTAGGTTTCTTTGTTGAGCGTGGCAGGTACATTGGTTGGGATTTGACACAATGACCAAGACTGATCCACCCTTCACTACATATTTACCGAGGGCCTGTTATACGTCAAGTCTATCCTAGTCATTGGAAACACAGTGCTGAATGAGACAAAGTTCCTCTGTTCATGAAACTTACATTTTGACAAACTACAAACAAAGTGATGCAAGATGTGCAGGAAACAAAGCATGTAGAGAGTGGGAGAGGTTGGTTGAGAAGAGATGGGTGCAGTGTGTACTAAATACTCAGAACCATGCATTGGGGCGATTGCTCTGTAGTTTAGAAAGCACTGGTCTTAACTACATTAGGTTCTGGAAAACTGATTTCCTGCCCAACAGATCCAGCTTTAAATTTGCCTTAATGCTGATAAAGCTCTTAGAATAGTTTTTTTTCTCTCCATATCATGTAGATTGTCACTGAGGAATTAATAAATTCAGCTCTAAGACAAACCAATGCTTTAAAATGGCTTAGTGGGATTCTCTGTAGCACAGGAGGGGGAAAGTTGCAAATATACAGAGCCCTCTTCCTCCAAACACAGCTCCATGAAAAACTTCTTGCCCAACATGAGCCTCACCAAATTCCACATGCTCTGTCTTTATTGACTGTTTATTCTTAGGATAAACATTGTTGTGGGGTTAGATTTGCCTTAGGGTTTTCAACGCTTTTCTATAAGCATCACACGAACAGTTCTAGTGGCTGGTGAGATGGGTCACACTTCTTGTCTTTTTATCAGGATGGAGAGCTGAGTTGTTAAAACCACAGCAGTCACAAATCACAACCCAGAGCTATGAACACTAGTTTCCTGATACCCAGGCCAGCACTGCTTCCCCATTGGATAGCACAGCCTTGCTAGAATATTCCAGCTTCATCTTGTTCCACACAAGGCCTATAATTCCACAGCCTTGGCCAACCCAAGTTAGAGAACCTAGGAAGGCCCCAAAAAGGTAAAGCACTTGTGGGAGCCTAGTTGGTTGCCTGACAGTAGCTGTGATGGAGGCCAGCATCCCTGCTTCAGAGCCTAGCATCTGAAGAGACACTCTTTAGCACAGAAACTGTGACAAACAGCAGCATTATAGGTGACTCAGTGATGCCTATTAGCAAGTTTCTTCAGCAGTTCCTACATATTATTGTCAAGTTTATATTCCCAGATTCCTTTCCCACTTAAAATAAACCTGAAAGCTAATTTGCTTATAAAAGGCAGCCAAATTGCACAGAACCATCAACAGCTCCTCTCCCCCAGAACAGACTAAGAGGCTGCAGCCATGGAAGATGTAATTGCTCCCAGACTGTGAGCAATTTCTTCCGTTCCAAATTCTTCACCAAAACTGGAGCCTGAACTCAAAATCATAACCATCTAAAAAACATGCTTGGGGAGGGGATTGGGAACATTTTGGAGGCAGCTGAGCCATAAATTAAAGAAACAGTTTGGCTTGTTTGTGAATTTGTGATTAATGGTGGAGAGAAGGTGGCAACAGAGGGGAGAGAGAGGAAAGGAAAAAATGCTTCCACCCTGTCTCCTGCAAACACAGAGGAAGAGGAGGTGGCAGGAATATACTCTTCACTTCAGTCCTGTGAGCCAACCAAAAACGTGTTATTTCTCCTTCTTTCTCTTTTGCTTTTCTTAAGGTATTTTGAAACTTCTGGATAAACCAGTCACAACTTGGCAAGTTCGAAACTAAACACCGTTTGGCTTCTTTCTCTAATGGGGATGAATAGAGGAGCCCTGTGGAGCCTTCCCCAATGACACATCCTGGGCAGTCACTTTCCAAATGAGCGGGGAGCCTGGAGAGCTGAGCCCTGGGTCAAGGTCATGATCTAGACCCAGGCCTTCTGTCTCACAGTGCAGGATCCTCTTTAGGTCTGAGGGAGGTTCTGTGCATGACCTTTTACTGTGGCTCTAAAAAGGGGTGTTAGAATGCGGCCTTGTCCGCATGAAGGTCTGCTGAAATGGGGTTGGGGACGGCTGGCAAGACAGTTGTAACTAGGTCATTATCATGCTTCATGCTGGGCTGTGGGGAGTCACTGGAGTCTGTCCTGAGGCCAGCCTGCTCTCTGAGTCAGCCATCTGTCTGAAGGGGTTTGGGATCATTTAATATGCTTGCCAGAGGCAGTAGGGTAGATACAGAGGCATAATAAAGGCTGTCCCAAGCAGCTTCTGAAGCCTGGGTCCCCAACATGCAGCTACCTCCAGGAGCCTCCCTCCACCCTTCTGACTGCTGGGCCCCTCCTTAGACACAGTAAACAAGCTGATTCCCTCCATGACTGGGCTTCTGTAAAGACCCTGCAGGACCTTCCCCCATTCTTCAAGATGAAACCCCAGCTTGAGTCTGGTCTGTGGCCCTGGCTCTGCGGGTGGAAATGCAGCTGTGGGCTTGGAGCCTGCCCTGGGCTGAGGCAGTCGGCTCTTGGGAACCCAACCATGGTAGTTAAGCATGTAATCTTTGGAGTCAGGACTTCCTGGATCTGAATCCAGCATTCCAGCCAAGGACAAACCCTTGATCTCTAAACCACAATTTATCCATCTAAAAGTGATTTGTTTTGAGCCTTAAATGAGATAATCCGTATGTGTGTAGCATGGGACCTGGACAGGATAAACTCAATGACTAGAAGTTGTTTTTATGAGAAATCTCCTTTTCCTTAGTTCCTTCACTGAATAGCATTTTTTTATTCTGGGATTTCTAGTTATTGGACCAATGTAGGATAGAAAAAATAAAGATAGGTAGAAAGAAGGCAAGAAAAAGTATAGTTTTAAAATTGTACTTTTCAGCCCTTGGGTAGCAGAAGCGGAAAGATCACTGTGAGTTCCAGGCCAACCTGGGCTACATAGTTAGTTCAAGGCCAGCCTGGGCTACATAATGAGACTCTGTCTCAAAAACAAAAAAAACAAAACAAAAAAAAATTGCACTTTTAAGAGAAACTGTAGAACCAGGACACAAAAATTACTCAAGTCTAATTTAAATGTTTTTTCTCTCCTCCTAAGACACAGTAAGCCTAGGCAATTCCCTTTCACCTGAAATTTGACCTCATCATCTTTGGATAGACCAACCCCTTTCACCTGTGAATTGTGCTTCCTCTTGTACCCCCAAGGAAGCAGCAATATTAAGGAGTGACATATTTCAACTTTAAACGCATGTAGATGGTTTACATCCTGACACAGTCTGCCAGATGGCTGACCTGCTGGACGGTGTGAAGACACAACCCAGATCACCCATCCTGAAAACACACCCACAGTCACATAAATATGCCCAGATCCCTGTATTCTAATCTGCCTTCTCAAGGGTGTGTACTATATTTCTTTGTGTGTGTACTTTCAAATTTCTGCCTAATAGATCCCTTTGTGCCTTTTACTGACACACGTGGAAAATCTTTTTCTACAACAAGACTCAGTGAGCCCACAACATAATTCTATGAGTACGGTGGGTCCAAGCTTCCTTTCTTAGTGGAAGCCTCCTCACAGTCGGTCAGTGATAGGACTCCTGCAATTTTGTGCTTGGCCACTGCCAAAACCTCACAGAGTTGCTCCGTATCAGCACCTGTGGCAGCCTACCAAATGGGCTTCCCCCTTCCTCCTCTGTGTCTCCCAGGTGTTACTGGCCTCCACCCTCTCCCCACTGCAGTCGAGGCTGCACTTGGTACCTGTGAGTAAGTGGTTGACAATCAGTGGTTACTAGGATAAGCTCTGACCAAGAACCAGGGCTGGGACTGTTACCCCTTACAGAGAAGCATAAACCGGAACCATTTCACACTGTTGATTATGGAAGAGTGCAGTCAAGGAGGGACAGAACCTCTCTCTCCAAAAGCTTTTAGTAAACTATGTTCCAGCCACAGAAGCCACTTTGAATTCAGAGTAAAGAATCTCGGTGCTTATAATTGAGAGAGCACAGTTAATCAGAGCAACAGAAAACGATTTAATTTCAGATCCCTTTGCTTCAATTTCTTTGTTCTCTCTCCCATTCCCTTTATCTAAATCAATATTTCTCAAATTATCTCTGCTGAGGGCGCAGTTGTTTATTCTCCCCCAAACAATTGTGGGCTAATACTTTTGTTACAGAGTACAAACAAATCACCTTAAAATGAACTTGTCTCACTGATGTTACAGCAATGCTGAATTACTGAAAAATTTCTTAAGTAATTTCAATTTCTGTACCTGTTCTTTTCTGCAGTACAGTAAACATTTTTCGACTCTAACCCCTGGATAAAACCGAGACTAGAGCTGCCTCTGGCATAAACAGAATGGGAAAGACTCCTTCTGCCATGAACACCCGGTCCCAGGGTTGTCCTATAATGTTTGTCCCGTGAGACTGCTGCCTACCCAGAGCATGCAGTGTAAGGATCCCATTCAGGTAGGACTTGCCTCGGTTACAGGCAGTGCTATTCCCTGAGAGTCGAGCATCCTCCTGTGAGTGTGCAGAGATATCCCAGCCCAAGTGCAGCATCTGCTCCTTACCATTCCATGCCAGCCCTGTTGATCTCCTCCCACCAGCACTCCGTGGGCTCCCCAAGGGTCTGGGGTGTGGGCATGCAGGCATAGTTCCATTGTCTATCAGAACCTTCTTTCTTGTTGAAGATGCTTCTCACGGCCACCACCACCTGCCCGTGGGGACACTGGTAGCTGAAGCCCTGACGGTTCAGATTCACCCAGCCATCATCACCATAGTCGTGGTATTGCTGGTATGGGTACCCGTAGTAGTCACCATACTGGCCCCAGGCAACAGTGAGCAGTGGCAGAAGCACCCAGAGAAGAGTGAGGTTCATGCCGCCTGGCTTTTGGCAAAAAGTATTACTCTAGATTTGCTGGGCTGACTTTTATACAGCTGCTGCAAACATGTGGTTTCCAGATGTGGGTGCAAAGGATCCAGATGCAGTGTGTCACTGCTTAAGCAAAACTTTTCCACGCTGAGAATTTGGCCATGAGTATATTCACTCATCTTAAGGTGGAATTTTAGGAATACGCAGGGAACATGTAAATTGAAGAAATTTTTGGGACAAAAAACAACTTTATAGCAAGTGACAAGCGCCAACTGCTTTTCTCCCCTTAGAAACATTTGTCTAAAAAGACTGATCAGCTGCAGCCTCATGCTCATCTCTCAGCATTTCACCCTGCAGCCCCAACCCACACCTGTGTTTGTTCTCCAGCCTAGTCTTCTACGATTGGACAAGTATCTGGAGAGTAATTTCAAATACACAAAAATACTAGTAAGAAGGCACAAAGTCATTTGCATTCCTGTCCACCTCGTTGTCTGGTTTATTTCAAGTTTTCAGCCCAACCCCTTCTTTCTTCAGGTGGTAAGCATGGGGGTATCAGTGTGCAGGCTGCTTTGCGAATTTCTCAGTTGCATAGAGAAGGACTGTGGGCCTCTGGAGAGATGGGGGCACTACTTTCATACCTATGCATCTGCCTATGCTGCCAAAATTGGAGCTACCCACACCCACAAACTGCTCTGCTCTTAGGTGTATATTGGTTTAAATCTGAACAAGCCCATTTTTTTATGCATCAGTGTTTTTTGCCTTCACATTGAATATTCTTTTGGATTGAGGTACAATTTACATGTATAAAGGTAAACATCTTTTTAAGTGTTTGGCATGCAGGCTTGTGAGCAGCACCATAAAGACAGAAGAGGTTCACAAATCCATCCTCCCCTATAGTGAAATCTTTCTGCACACCCAGTCTTATTGTAATCCAAATATTGAATATTGTAATCCAAGTTTTATAATCCCTTTTCTAATCTTCCTCATGATTTAGAAAGTTATATTTGTAATCCAACTGAAATGTCATTTGAACTCTGGCAAGTTAATTGTAATCTACCACCTCCAATGCAATTCACAGTGAGAGTAAAGATATCAAGACATATTTAAGGGTGGCCAAGGGGTCTTAGACCAGATCCAAGTCTGGATATGCAGATAAAGGCCCTAACAGAAGGCCTCTCCCAGAATTTATTATCTTGTGATGAAGAGGGTGGCTCAAGGATGAGTGACAGTGAGGATGGTGAATAACTTGAGCTGGCTAGCCAGGTGGGGAGAAAAGTATCTTTGCAATATGCAAGAAGATAAGCAGAAAGATCAGTCTGCATAATTTGAGTGGGATATCATATGAATGAGTTTAGGAGGCTATTGCTTCAGTTTCTGATATGTAAACTTGTGAGGCTCCTACTCAGCTGACATTTCTGGAGCTGAGTGGCTCTGCCACACTATCGTGCTAGGATCCTTTACAGAGAGCACAATTTGAGGAAAGATGTCGGTACTTTAGCTGGCCTTATTTACATTGCTTAGAGCCAGTTGCAGAGAGAAGGAAATGCCACAGCCAACTCCGTACATATCAGTGTATGGAAATCAGACTTGATTTAACTAATGTTGCAGCAATTATTCTGCATTCAAGAGGTGTCCATGTAGTCTTCTATAAGTCTCTGGTAACCAGCCACCTGCTTTCTATTTCTGTAGTTTCACCTGTCCCAGACCACCAAATATAAGTCCTCACTGCCTTTTCTGTGTATTTTGCCCAATCCTTTGTTGAGGACATCAAGCGCCTGGAAAGAATTTCTTTGGGACCCAAAAGCCAGTAACAACATCAAATGTAGTCTTGTGCATACTTCTACTTAGCGTAGCAATATGGTGATTCATTCATGTTTTGTGTGTCAATGGTTCATTGTTGTGATGCCTGAGTATTACTCCATACATGAATGTACCACAGACTGTTTATGCATATGTCATTTGAAAGATGTTGGGGTTGTTTTCAGTTTTTGAAAATTTATTATGTATAACTACATAGAAGTAATTATGACTCACATTGTCATAATTCTGCATAGCTTTTGTATGAATAGTTATTTCATTTGGGTAAATACCTATGGTTGAGTTTTGTATGTTTTTGATTTTTGCAGTACTGGCAAGCTATATTTCTCACACTGAGCCCCACTTTTATCTTTTTGCCTGTTATTTATTTTTTTAAGAAATTAGATGCAATTGAGAGTGATAAAATTTAGTGAGCCACAGGCATAAGCTTAAATGAGGAAATTTCAACTTAGAATTGAACTTGGGAAATAGAAAAATTCATATTATATAGTTTTTAAAAATTGGTACATGTTTGCAATATATACAGATTGTATTTATCGAGGGAAGTCCATACACCTACATAGCACATCTTAATTCTTTTTCCATTCCCTACTTCTCCCACCCCCCTCTCTTTTTCCATTTCTTGGTCTCTTTCCCATTTTCAAAGCTTTCCTTCCATTTTTAATCCTTTTCCTATCCCCTTTCCCTCCCTTTCCACTCCCTCAAGTCCTTTTAAATTTAAATTGGAGACAGTGTCCCACTAAATTACTTAATTTGCCCAGTTTGCATGCAGGCTTCTGACCTTTTGGGCTCAGCCTCCCAGAGTGCTGGGATCACAGACAATCACCTCTATATCCAGCCAACTTGGTGTCCCTATTTTCTGCAGACCTCTCTTATTTGACAAGTAGAACTGCTATTATTTTTGTAGTTTGAAGGTCAGCATCTTTATGCTTTGGGCCCGTTTAGATGTGGATTCTTGTTACTTAGTGCTGAAAGCAACCTAACTCGTGCAATATCTACAGGCTCCAGAGCTTGCCGGGGCCCCAAGGGAGTGATGTCAGAGGATTCACAGAGAATGGTTTTCAAAAGCAGGTGAGAATCTAAGTTTTCAAAAGCTGAGAATCTAAGTTTAACGCATTCATAGCTTACCATGTATTTTCAGCAGGTTGTTAGACTACTTACCCCACAACTTTATGATATATATTAATGAGACATTGTCTGGATTAATTTTTCACAGATGAAGAAACTATGATCAGAGGATATTTTGACCAAAATTTCTAGAGCAGGAAGGATTATGATTTCACGTATTCTAAATCTTACTCTGCAATTCTTTCCATCATTCCATCAAAACCACCATTACAGATTATAAACCAACACTTAGAAACTGACACAAAAACTATTTGCAATGTTTTTACATTATCACACACATAACCGGTTTGCACTGTGGGTTTCTGCTATTATTTGCAAATTATGCTCAATAGGCCTTGGGAGGAAGTATGAGATCAGCAGCTTTCAGAGCATGTGTACTAAGATCCAGTGTCAGCTTTTGCCTAGAATCTTGTTAAACATGCAGATTCACTGGACTTTCCCAGAACCACTGAATCAAACTTTCTAGGACTGGAATCCAGTGAAGGGTGTTTTAACAAGACTTCAGGAGGCCTGAAGTAAGAAAAAGTACTTCAGGAAGCTGAAGTAAGAAGCGCTTAGAAGATACCTCAGAGCACACTGCCCGAATCTCAGAAGTCCCCTCTAGAAAGTAATAGCGGTGCACAGAGGCCTGTCTGTGCGATCCAGCTCATTTGCAGTGATTCCAGAGCCCACACATGGAAGCCCTCGGCTCTGCCACTTCCTAGGAGGTGAATGAAAGAGTTGCTGGCCCAGACTGGACACTTTAACCAGGAAAAGCCGCAGCCAAGATAGGGGGCTCCTGCCTCCCCCGCCCCTATAGATTTGCCTGTAACCCTATACCCTCATCCCTGTAACCCTGGCGCCAAACGTGTGCCAATGAAATACCTGTGCATCCCTAATGCCCCTTGGGGTCCACCCCAGACAGAGGTTACTTACGGGCCTGACTCCACGTGTTGAAGGAGAAGAAGAAGAAGAAGAAGAAGGAGAAAGGGAGAGTGTGTTCCAGAGAGAGACCACCGCCCCGGGTGCAGTGGAGATGCTGCGCCCCGGGGGCCGGGTGGGGGGGGTCTCTCCCCGCATTCCCGAAATAAAGGTTACTTATATTTTATGTTTCTTATCTTTGCAGCCACCGCCGCCCACTACTTTCACGGCAGTCCACTCCACTCCTTCCACGGACCTCTTTCCCCTCTTCTTCCTCCCTCTTCTCAGACCTAACAGTGAAGGACGTTGAAATATTTCTCCTTAGAATACTGAAGTTTGTCCAACTGAAGAAAGATAAAATTCAGGAATGCTTTCTCTTTCTCCCCCTCCTTCCTACAGACAGGACATAAACCCTTCTTTGCTAGAGATAGCTTTTATCAGCTCAGCAAGGAGCCTGGGATCTTCAGGCAAAGCTTGCTCCATTAACTCCTTTCCAGGTAGTCACTTTCTGTGGTTTCCCCACATTTAGCTCCTCGCTTTTGCCTTGTTGCTGCTCTCAGATTTATTATGTGTTGTCTGAAGATGTATAAAACCATCTTGCTTTGGGTAGTTCTTCGAATTTTACTGTCTTCTGGAGGTCCCTGTACATGAAAAATTCATAAAACTTGTATTCTTTTCTCTTGTTCTGCTATCTTATGTTAATCTGGTTTCCAGATCCAGCCAAAATCCCATGTGAAATCCCTCCATCCCAGGGAGGCTTTCTTTTACTTGCTGACATAGCTAATGAATTGCGATGCTTTGGAGAGACTCAGTTTCTAGCATTTGAAAACATGCATGAGTGTTCTTCTCTTTTCTCCCTTTCTCTTTCATCTCCTCTGTCTCCTCTTTTTAAAATACCATTTTTTGAGATGTAATTCACCTGCCTTACAAATCACCATTTAATTCAGTCGTTTTTAGTATATTTGGAGTAGTGTATCTGTCACCACAATCTGTTCTAGAACACTTTAACAGCCCAGCAAGAAATCCTATACCCTAGGCAACAACTCATCTACTGAATCCACTGTTTCTATGGATTTGTCTATTCTGTTTACTTCTGATAAATGAATACATTCAAAATGGGATCACTTGACTGAATTCTTGCAGGGTTTTCAAGGTTCACCCAAGTTGAGTCTTCCTGTTTATTGCCATAAAATATGGATGTATCAC